ATATAAATGCTACTTTTAAACCGGATTACTGATATATGTTTTTCTTTTCTTTCTTGTTATAGAAATAATTTTCTATAATAAATTTTGCAGAAATCGATTGCAAGATAAAAAAGAAGATTAAATTCACAGTGTTCTACCCACAACCAACTTGCAATCAATTAACGGATGTATGTTAAATTTATGTCAATATTTATAAAAAAATAAAACGTTGCTACTGTTTTAAATTACAACATAGCAATATTAAACATCTCGAATTTCTCGAACCTGTGTCTTGCGTATTCAGCGTAGAATCACTGTTCAGATTACACTTTGATCTCAATTTATACTTGGAAGTCCACTTTTTACATCAACATGTTTTTTATTATTTTTCATTTTTCTTTTCTTTTGTTTTTCGTCTTTTTCTTTGTTGTTATTGTTGTTCTTATTTTTTCTCCAGTATTTATTATTCGTATTCAGAGTCACAATAGGTCGTGCACGTTAATTGATAATTATATTTTGTACTTTATTGCAATATACAGTATATCCTCTGCCCGGATGAACATATTTTGGTTGATGCTTAAAAGTAAAATGTAGTTGAAATGTTTAGGGAGATATAACTTTTGAGGGTTGCTCAGTAGAAGATATACGGGGTGAATATACGTAAATCAGAGTTGAGTAATGGTTATATAAAGTGTTCCGAGTTCAAGTCAGCAGTTGCTAACATGCGGAAAAAATTGGCTATGATTTTTGTTACTGAAATAGTTTTAAACTTTGTCACATATGTGTTAATTTTCTTATTTATAAACATATTACCATGACATTTTAATTAGATTATAATAATATAATTATTGTATTGCACAAATTTAATATTTTTTTTATTGTGAACAGTTTGCATTTCTATCCACAGTATACAAAAGAAATATGTTTTCTTCTTTTTGTCTAAGTTAAAATATTGTTTCATGTTCTGTTTATTTCTGTCATGTATTGGCAATTTCTAAATAGTAATTTAACATACTGTATGTGAAACACTTTGGTATAAATGCTTCCTGAATATATGGAGAATTAAGTTTTTTTTGTGTAACAATTTATACCGAACCTACCGATATTTAAATGCTAATTGTAGATAACGACATTCATTTATTAAATCACATAAGATCGAGGGAACTGTGACTTCCGCCACCTTTTCATTGAGCTCATCGTTAAGTTAAGTCTGGGGCACTCTTGACTCCCCACCGCCACTGAGAAGTCAAGGGTCGGTAATACACCTGACACGGCCTTGGGCGCGTGTCATCGCAGGAAGACCTTACTGGAGCTTCCTTACCCAAAGTTGTAGTCTGGATGAGTTCAGGTCCACGATAGAAAGGCGGATACCACCAGTTTCCTCCGGTCTGAAAACTTTTCTATAAAATACATTATAAATTATATTAATAGAAACACTTGCTTATTATAGAAACACTGTCTTATTACCTAACCTTAAATAAAGGGAAGTAAATACAACACCATCTGCCATGTAAAGCTGATTTTGTTATCTCCCTTTATCTACTATTCGCACTTCATAACAGTGAGAGTATTTGGGTAATCCTATACCCGATGTTTTTGTGTTATTAATAAACATTAGACTTCTCCATTTATACCTTGAAAAGTTTCGCACGTTTACTGAAATAGTATATTCATTATGTTCAATACTTTTTCTCGCACACCATGATATTGTGTTAATAATATGTTTACAAATCGTCACCTTAGTGCAAAAACTCAATAACTGCTATTAAATATAGACTGAAGCACTTATTACGTTATTGCACTAAGATGACGAAATGTTAATATGACTATTGAGCAAAATTCGTCAATTTAATACTACGCATGTATTTTCTTTTCCATTCCCACTTTTACTTCTATTTTATTTTATTTTCCTCTCTTAAACACCAAACCTACCAATTTCAATTATAATTTGACTATATGTCCACCCAGTGACAACTGTTATTACAATCGAATCACATTGGTAAAATACATAGAACAAAAAATGGAACACTAGTTTTGAATGTAACGTGGGCATTCTCTTTTAGTTCTTGTCTTTTAGCAATATATAGAACAGTTTTGGCTCTCAACTTACTTGATACTTGAAAGTATACAAATCTCACATTTAATATCAAATTATTTACCATTATAGTTTTTCGTTATAACCTTATCGTATGTTAAATAATTGCTGTTTGAGCGTCATTTATACTTTTATTCATGTTTCTCACCTCATTGTGTCCTGTTTGTACATGGAATAAGAGAAATAGATGTTGTTGTTTTACTTGACTTCACTTGACTTGACTTGACTTGACATGACTATTTAAATATTCAAAACATATTTGAATATTATTTCTGAATTGCATTTATCAATTATTTCGGCACATCTGTACGTATATATTTTTATTGTATTCTTTACTGTGTATTTAGACACAGACGACTGTCTGTCAGTGTGTGTGTGTTTTTTTTTTTTTATGAAATTATTTTAAATCATAATGTAACGTAATATATACGTTTTAAAGGAAATCAGCTAAGCGAATAAATGTTCTTACTTCTGTCATACAGCAATGTGCGATTTGTTTCATTATTATTATTATAATTTTACTCTGAAACTAGTTATTATATACTTTTATCTTATGTGTTGACCCTATATATTTATTTCATCAATATTTTACTTCACTACATGCTAAAAAATTATAACAAAATCCATCGTGTTGATTTTTTTATTTTTTATTTTGAGTGTGACATTCGCATGTAATAATAAAAAGCTTATGTCTGATTACTACATTGATATAATGTCATGGTATAATGACACGAACTGTATTTCTTATTTTTATCACATATCCTTCTCATTTTCTTTCCATGAAATTAAATTGTGTCTTAGTGCATTCGTGCTGCTCCACCTTCATACATGTATCTTGAGGTAGTGTTTTGATATTCGATTGTAAAGCACTTGGCAAAGAAACATTCATATTGTAGAATGTTTACTCCAACATTGCACATCAAAGTTCATTACATTGTATATAATGTAAGTTGTTATACTTTTTTATCACAAATGAAGACAAACAAACCAAAGCTTCCCATAAAATGAAATCTCTATCAAATAAATATTATGTTTAATATTTTAGTATGGACATTTATACCTGTGGTTCATTTTAGTTTCTTGAATATATATCAACGCATGAACTGTTAATTGAGTGTTTCCTCGCAAGGAAATAATAATTAAAAAGAGTAACAGAAAGCGTTTACGAATGTACTTATCATGTGATATTGGTTTGTCTTTATCGCCATTGTTTCATCAGCAGAACGATGAAAATAACCAAAAGAAGGCATGTTAATATTTTATTTTAAACAGACACACAAAATTTATCGGTAACAGACATATGTTTTATAAAAAAAAAACAGGCGGATGAGTGTTTTATCAAAAATAGATATATTATGCATGTTTTATCATCAGCAGAAGAACGGATATTTTATCATAAACATATGATTGTTTTATCAGATACAGACAGGTGGATATGCTATTATCTACAGACATACAAATGTTGTATCATAAACAGAAAAATTAATATTTTATCATAAACCGAGAGATGCAAGTAAACCATAAACAGATATACACACGATGTATCACAAATACATAGATTAATAGAAGAAGAAACATATAAATGAAATATGATATTTCGTTACAGTAGAATCCCTACTAAAGACCACCTCGGATTAGGACCACCCCACGTTTGAGACCAGTTTTTAATTTAAAAGAACGGAATTTTCTGTTCTTTATGTCAATAGTTACATGACCCAAAATTAAGACCACCTCACTTATCCACTTTTAAGACCACCAAATTCAGTCCGAATTCGTTATTTTGTTCTTTATTTGACCTCGCTATTGAGACCACTGATATTAAAATCAACACCTACCTAGATCTTAAATTTGTTGTTATGTTGTTATTATTGCTTGATTGCTCTTAGACATGACACTTTGTCTTTGTCATTATACAATCTTTACTTCTTTGTCCTTACAAATCCGCTGTCCTGGTGAAAATGCTTAGGTAATTGTTTATAAAATATGTAGATTTTACTGTGTGAAATGATTTGTACCTGTTTTCTTTTAACTAGTTGTACATTGATAAATGTACTTACGAATCAAATATGGCCGATCTCAACGTGGTAGCAAAGAAGGTAAACTGTTTGAATGATTTTGAATTTTGCATTAAACTATATAAACAGGGGTAACCTTGCCTTATAAATATGGTATATATATAGAGTTACATGAACTGTTTGCTGATGAAACAACTACAGCTTATGTTCGGATCCAGAAAGAGGGAGGGGATTGGGGGCTTTTTTCGGATGTGCTTATTTGTGCGATAAGTTTTAAACATTTGTTATAGGGGACCTTTTTTGTTTGCTTTCATTTTGCTACTTTAATCTGCATACGTTCAAGAAGCTGTCAATTTGATAAACATGTTTTTTCTTTCTAATAGTGGATACTTATACTGCCGTCATATTGATCTTACATCTTACACGAAACAATGGATTGCTGTTTGAAAAGATTATCAACTCTGAATGAAATGTTTTTGTCAGTGTACGAATTACATTTCAAATTTAACTACCGAATCTGTAGGATGTTTCTTCTAACAAAATTCAGGATTCAGACAACACAAATTTTTTATCATATTTTATGGTATTATTCAGGCGTTACTTAAGTTATGATGCCTTTGCTTGAGAGATGATTAAGGAGCCGCCTTAAAAATGAAGAATGTGTATAATACAATATAGAAAGTACCTAAAGTATGAAAAAGACTGGCCCATTCTTTTAAAGAAATAAGCATTACCGATACATTATAAATGATAATTTTTGAAATTTTCATTAGTCACGTGGTTTATTGATTATTTTGTCACATAAAAATGAACACTATTATAACAAAATGTCAAGTCATTTTTTTTACCTGTTCACTGACAATAAACACTTGGGTGGTCATTTCACGTTAATGTTTATTACGATATTTCAGAGTCTCGGAATGCAAGTATGGAAGACAAAATCCCACTAAAGACAAGGACGTGTGAAGGTTTGTTGTATTGATAATTTCGTTACTGACAGTACATTGCTCTGAATGTTCTCATAAATACAGAAACAAACGTTTTTTAAAATGGATCCTGTTGTTTTCAGTTAAGTCAGTAAGATATCTTGAACATTTAAATATGGTTACACCACATGTATATGTTTGATCGCACTGATATTGTAAATTAACATATGGTTATGTTCTTGAAATTATATCTTAGCAAATCCGAAAGTAATTTTGTACTCAGTGTATTGTGAACATGAAGGAAATGTACAATGTACGAGTATTGTTCAAATGAGTTCATTATAAAAATTGATTTAAGCATTAATTGCAGTTTGTACAAAATGTTTGTATTCTTCTACCACTAGGGCAAATATAACATTACATGCTTTCATTTAATAACTATTTAAAACATCGAAATGTCGCCAACTGACGCACGACAAAGTTATGATTTTCGTTTCAAAGTACGGTTTAGAAAACTATAAGCTAAGAGTCTTCCATCAAATCTTTGACGGGTGGTTATGATGTAATTCATTTTAAATGTGTTTACTTACTGGCAACTTACTGGCACAGAATACGTAGACACAGATAACGATATTTGAAATCAAAACGGAATATAACGAAACCTCGCAGGTCTTCTTATATTTCACCAAATTTTACAAACAAAATAAAAAAACATTTTATAAAATATTTCTTATGTAATGACTTTAAATTGCTGTGACGATTTGCTTTTATTTCATAGATTGCCAAGTATTAACAAATCTCTTTCAAGTTTTTATGCCTAGTTTATATAATTCAATTCAATTTTAATATGTCACTTGAAACATATTTCATCCGTTCCGTTTCAGAAAATACACAAAAGGATGAAAGGAGCAAACAAAAGGAATCATATTTGCCTAGAAAACTTTCAAACCGAGGATTGTGTTCAACATCGTTTTCAAATATACCGGAAAAGGACAAACGGGAACAAAAGCCAGTTGTTAGGTGTATCAGAAAAAGTGTAACAATGGCGCTTCTGGAAGATACGAACCCATTTTATAAAAAGAAAATATTATTTCTTCCCAAACCATACGATCACTTTACTCATGAGGCCACTAAAATACTGAAATTTATCTTTGATAAAGAGGCTGGGATAACAAGTCAGTGTTGTTACGATCGGAGTATTCATAAACACTACATGACAAGTAACCGTGATAGATGGATTAATAATGTGTTAGGGGACCATGATAGGATATTGATATTTTTATGTTTTAAATCACTTAGTGCCCCACCAAATGAGGAAAAATATGAGCCAATGGTGGGCGAAATACTTGACAATCTATTATTATCAAAAGTAGCCTCTACTAGACTATGCAAGATTGTTTTCTTATATTTTACTGAAAGTTCCAAAAATATACAGAAGAAACACCATGGAGACAATTTCCACATTCACGATACAAGCTCATTTCAGAACTTTGTGTGTGATGTGCTGAACTTTTGCGGGAGAAGTCAAGATCAATATTCAGATATGATATATAGAATATTGAACTGCCAGGCTTCTGGTCACTTTCTTAAATATATTGGATTGACGGGTAGTCCTCGTTCAAAATAATGAAATACATAATCACAAACATAAGATTAAATCAAAATTGTATTCAACTGTTTTCATTTTCTTGCAGCTTTAAATGCGCATGCATGTGAATGCGTTAAAATGGTTTAAAAACACTAGAACATTCCCGTTCACAAGCAGTTTCCGAGCAAGTCGTCACTTGAATGTATGGACGATCTGTCTGTAAAATATGTAAATCTTGACGAAGAATATGGGAATTCGATCTGAGAAGGTAGTTAAACCATGCGACCGTAACTAAAGTGACAAATATCAACATCTGCAGTTTCGTCACAGTTGTATACATATCATGATTGTTTGTGTGAATCCAATCAATATTTCCGTTGATAAATCATTGGTTGTGATATTTTACCCTTTGATATCTGTATCGTTTTTAGCTCGTCTTTTTTTTTTGAAAAAAAAGTAGAGGTATTGTTATAGTCAGGTCGGCGTTGCCGTTGCCGTTCCCGTCCGAAAACTTGTACCTGGATCATAACTTTTTTATTTCTTGGTGTATTGTCTTCATACTTGGCCACAACAACCCTTGGGACAAGACCTTTCAGTAGACCACACTAACCTTGACCTTCAACCATAAATGACCTTGACCTTCAAGGTTAAAAGTCCAAGTTTTGCTTGTTCATGCTGTTATTGGCTGTAACTTTGTTTTTTTGAATGGATTGTCTTCAAACTTGAACATAATAATCTTCAAGGATATCCCTTAAAAATAACCCGCCAGACCTTGACCTTCACTCATAAATGACCTTGACTTTGAAGGTCAAATTATTGAAATTTTCATTTTTTTGGCTATTATTGGCTGTAACTTTGTTATTTTTGAATGGATTGTCTTCAAACTTGAACATAATTATCTTCAGGGATATCCCTTAAAAATAACTAGACAGACCTTGACCTTCACTCATAAATGACCTTGACTTTGAAGGTCAAATTATTGAAATTTTCATTTTTTTTGGCTATTATTGGCTGTAACTTTGTTATTTTTGAATGGATTGTCTTGAAACTTGAACATAATAATCTTCAAAGATAATTGTTAAAAAATATACCGAAAGACCTTGACCTTCACTTATTAATGACATTGTCTTTGAAGGTCAAATTATTGAAATTTTCATTGTTTTGGCGGTAACTGACTGTAACTTTGCTATTATTGAAGGGATCAACTTCATATTATAACAGAACATTCTTAAGGACCAGACCTCGTTGTTTATCAAACCCAAATTTGCTTGGGCTCTTTAATGACCTTGACCTTGAGGGTTAAATTACTGAATTTTCTCAGATTTGTGCATTAAATAACCATAATTATATATTTATTGGTGTGTGTGTGTGTGTGTATATATATACATGTGTATAATTACAACAACAACAATAATTGCGTCATTGTTTCTATTTATAGAATTGCGTCATTGTTTCTATTTTTAGAAATTGCGTCATTGTTGCTATTTTTAGAAATTGCGTCATAGTTTCTATTTTTAGAAATTGCGTCATAGTTTCTATTTTTAGAAATTGCTTCATTGGTTCTATTTTTAGAAATTGCGTCATTGTTTCTATTTTTAGAAATTGCGTCATAGTTTCTATTTTTAGAAATTGCTTCATTGTTTCTATTTTTAGAAATTGCGTCATTGTTTCTATTTTTAGAAATTGCGTCATTGTTTCTATTTTTAGAAATTACGTCATTGATTCTATTTTTAGAAATTGCGTCATATTTTCTATTTTTAGAAATTGCGTCATTGTGGCTATTTTTAGAAATTGCGTCATTGTTGCTACTTTTAGAAATTGCGTCATAGTTTCTATTTTTAGAAATTGCGTCATTGTTTCTATTTTTAGAAATTGCGTCATAGTTTCTATTTTTAGAAATTGCGTCATAGTTTCTATTTTTAGAAATTGCGTCATTGTTGCTATTTTTAGAAATTGCGTCATTGTTGCTATTTTTAGAAATTGCGTCATTGTTTCTATTTTTAAAAATTGCGTCATTGTTTCTATTTTTAGAAATTGCGTCATGTTGCTATTTTTAGAAATTGCGTAATGTTGCTATTTTTTAGAAATTGCGTAATGTTTCTATTCATATAAATATATACAAAATATATAAACAAAACTAATTTGACAAGACAGACCAACTAAATTTATAAAAAGGAAACGTTAAGATATGTTTAAATCTTTCTATGTTTGCGTTTAGAAAAAGTAAAAAGTCGAGCGTTGCCCCCGCCCGGCGGTGGCTCTTGTTATAAATATATACTTATTTGATAACGAGGGCTGTTTCAAAAGGCACCTTTATAATGGATAAAGTTGTACCATTTTTTTAAATTTCTACATACTATACATAACTTTTGTTATTTATTTAAAACATCTGTATTCATTGATAAAAAACGCCAGACAGGTAAAGATTTTAAACAAGGAAGCATATTAAGATAAATCTGCTTGTTCAGCAGAAAGAAAGTAACAAACAGGAGCAAATCTATAGACAAAACAGAAAGTGGTACAAATACACCAACAGACAAAAAAAGTGAAAAAGAATATTCGAGCAGAATTGGTTTCAATATCAACTGCGGCTACTTTTTATTTAAAATCGTTTCAATTTGGAACATCCATATTATCAATAGTATGAAATATAGAGTTGTCATTTGATAAATAATCTAATCGGTTATATTTCATTAAATAGTTGAAATCCTCGGATGCAGAAAGTTAAGATAATTTTCGTTTATTACAACCATCAGCAATTGGTGTGTTTGCTTTGACCACATACAATTGGAAATTTTTTAAAAGGGAAAAATCCTCTTGCATATATGTACACAGGCAGCTCTATACCTCCTTTATTCACAGTAACGACCTGTAAGTAGAGTCTGACACCTAACGATCCAGAAGAAAATATTCGCTCTGCTTAGCCCAGATATCACACATCTTGCTTGAGCCAAGCTTGAGCATCACTGGTGTCTAGCCCTACAAAATAACATTGTTAACAATTAAGACTTTATTAAGTTGTCTTTGGTCATTTTTTATCGTATGTTTGCTGTAACACCTAACAGGCTGTCGTGGATAAGTAACTAATTAATTAAGTAACAAATTAATTACATCTGCCCCTTGTCGCAGATAATTATGGTGATATCATAGGAGTATGTCACTATCTTATAGATTTGAGAAGCCTAGCTGAAGAAATTCATCTGTCTTGGTTCGTTTCTGTAGTGCATACAGAAATATGCAATTGATAAGCTTTGCGTTCCTGGATAGGTAATGATTCCAATGGAAGTTAATGAACCTTCATCTTTGAACCACTTAAAATAATGGCAGTCACTTGTAGGAAAGTTAAAATTTTGTTACAATAATGTGGTGTTTACAGTGTTAGATCTAAAGCAACAACCTATTTAAAACAAGTTGTATCTTTCCAAAAGACAAACTTCACTTTTACAAGTTTTTTTTCAGAGCAACAACCTTAGAAATAAACGTTTAAGAATTAATGTTGCTCTGCAGAAGAAATAACTACAGATGTTAAGTGCTAGACTGTAGTACAATACTGTGATCTTAAGTAAAACATTTGAGGTGATTAAAAGCAATATTCATAGATCTGTAGTTTCTATATCACGTGTGGTCAAGTCTGTCTGACTATATACATCGAGATTTTGAAGTTTGTCAAAATAAACATTGATTTCAAATGCGAAGTCCTTGTCCGCAAATTCTTAAAAAGAATCGCAATTACTATTATTCTGTCCTCCATCTTCAAACGTTTGCACTGTAAGGTTCATTCGATATACCGTTTTAATAAGGAGAACGTTACTGACAATTACGAACATACGCGATCGTGTCGCACGTGATAGAGCTAATTGCAACATTTTACACTATATTACGAGTAATGTTGGAGTTGTGTCCGATTGAGATCCAATTTCTTGAGATTAGTTTAGAATGAGACAAAAATTGCGGGCGGATATTATTAATAAAGAAATTGAATAATATTACAGCAATATTAGCCATAGTTAATATTCTTATATTCAATAAATGTTTATCAGCTGCTGTGGTAATGTTTTATGTAATTCGAAAACAATGACACAATGAAAGAGAAGCATATCAATGTGTTTAGACGCCACAAATCCATTTAGGTGTGAAATTCCAAAGGATCAAATTTTATAACTACAATATATTTTTCCAAATGAGGTCACTTGTTAACTGTTATTTCTAGTAAATAATTTACTCCCTTCGGGACTCAAACCGAACACTTAACAGTAGCCGTATCACACACACGTGAATAATGGTTGATTAAGCACCGCTAAGACTACAACCTGGTGCAATATCAAGTGTTTAGGAGCAAATGTTGTGCCCTTCTTTACAAGTGATGCTCGGGTACGTCTATTGTTACACAAAGTAACAATCATTAACAACCAGTTTACAGAATTACAAGATTTTATCTTCAGAGAAACCGTAAAAAGATGAACAACTCCGCAGCAAATATTACATCAGATTAATACGTATAATATCTACTACAGATTGACCTCCCTTCGTTAAATATTTGTTTTAAACTGGAAATAAAAAAATGATCATCATAATATGCAGAGCATTACACTTTAAAGAAATTTCCAAATTGAAAAAGTATATTCATAATTTAATATATCTAACTTTGTCAAAATATTGAATTGAATTTATTGTGTTGTCATTAAAAACCATATCAATGTAACTCGATAAATGAAACGTCACAGTGTGATATGACCATTATCGTTGAATATACTTATTCCATTATTCCATATTTGCAGCAATTACAATAATGAATAAAAATATTCCCGATAACCTTCGTTCATAATGTAATTTAAAATAACATAGATTAAAATGCGTAAGGCTAAAATAATTATAAATATATAATGATAAAATAATACATCAATAATACATTTAAATTGCATAAACTTAACTAACTATTTGTATATGACATTTTTACTCATGACAATGTTAGTAAATTCTTTCATTATAATAATAATTACTTTGTTGGTGAGGACAAATTTAAGGTTTCCCTGTTTATGAGATGACTCTTTTGACCTTAATTGTCTTTAGTAAACACCATTGGTTAACTTGTGGCATTGAATATAACGTCTACGATTGTTTATGAACTATTTGGATTGGTGAGTATTGTAAGTTTAATTACTGTCTATGATTTTCTCAAACACAGAGTCAGATTATGATCTGACAAGCGGGGACAACTATTCTGTGTGTCATGTAACATATGGAGGACGAATTATGTGAAGATCATGTTCATGAACCGATCCAATACCATCTATACCTGGGCACGATTGCATTGGAAATCAAAGACAAACAAAACAAAGTTGAATCAAAATATGTCATGGCATGATTGATTTGTAATATTTGTGACACTTGACATTGATAACT